AAGCTGCCGACCTTTCAGTTAGGAGCTAAGCACTTAACTCCTGCATGACCAGATGTTCCTTCCACTCAATCAAGTGTTAAGTTAAATCAAAAACATGTCACATGCAAAACACTAGCTTCCCAAGATACAGATGTGTCAAACACAAGAAGGGGTAGCTGTGTGGGGAAGATGACAGAGAACAGGATGAAGGAGTAAAATGAAAGCCTGAGGTGCCCCGCACTGCTGGGGAACAGTGAGCCCATGTACAAGAAAACAGTTCTCTCAGCACTACATCCAAGGTATAAAAAGATGACATGTCCCCAGCAAGTGAGTGCTGGGAAATACAGGCGAGAGTAACCACGTCCTCCACGTCCCTGGCAGCACTGGTCAAAGAACACCCCACTGCCCTCTGTGCGGCACGCTTGCCCTCTAAAGGATAGTGAGCACCCCCTTTGTCAGGAACTGTGTGAATGATGGGTCCTCTCTGGATTTATTCAGCCACCACAACCTGTGAGGACATCAACACCTCCACTTAACAGATTTCAAAAACCAAGTCACTACCCCAAGCCACAAAGGTAGCTCCATGGGTTTGAACTTCATGTTCAGTTTCATTTGCAATCTTCCCCTAAACCAACTAAACCAGTGGTATTTCTATAATAATTAAGCGTTTCTATTTATTTTCTTCCTAAAGTTAACTGCCAAGGCAGCACTGAGAGCTGAGCACGGCATTCTCCATGTTCACGTTTACACAGAGCTTTTCCAGCCAACTGCGGTGCACTCCTACAGCTCTGGCTGGACTCGGTGACAGTGCTCAGAGCCACTCACTCCACAAGCCAGCATCTGGTTCTCCTGCATAAAAGCCTCTAAAACCCGAGATCATTCTCAGGGCCATGATGTGGTAAACTCTCCTTCCAAAAGCTAAATGAAATTTGGCAAGGACAAGTCACTCGATATTTCCCATATTTTTCTGACAGCAACAAACCATTTAAAAGCCAAGGTAATAAGACAACTTCCAGATAGCAGCACAGGCCCCAGGGTTCAGGAGATAGACTGCTCACTTTGTAGAAATACAGACTTTGAGAACTGTCTGAAAATGACACTTAGAAACCAGTTTGATTCTGACTTTTATTATGAGGTCAGAACAAATGAATTACAGGGAGAAGTAGCAGCAAAAAAGGAGTATCCCACACCCTGCCCCCGGCACTCAGGCAACAGGAG